GCCCACCTAAGCAGTTCAAAAGCACATCAAAGTGCAAGTAGATAAATAGCTACTGTTCTGGTGGTAAGGTAAACGGCGTTTCCGTGCGCTGCTCTGGTTTTGCCAGAAGCGGCTTAGTCACGCTGGCCACGTGACCCGGAAGCTGTCTGTGGACAAACGCCGGCTCCCTCGGCCTATAGAGCGAGATGAGCGCCACAACCCCAGAGTCATCCACGACTGGACCTAAAGCTCGGGGTACCTTTACCTTTACCTGTGCTATTTAGCATTAGGGTGCTCAATGTGGTGTGCATGGGCTCCACCAGCACTCTCCTTAGCAGCCCCCAAGGCCCACTCCCCTCATAGTTTTTTAAAATAAGTTTTTTTGGGGGGCGGGGGGATTTTGCTTTTTATTTTGATGGTTTGGTTAAGAAGGGCTGCCTGATGGGGAGTGTGGATTTTTGTTTTTTGTTTTGTTTTAGTCTGTGTTCTGTTTTGTTTTTTTGCAGGTAGGTAAATTGCTTTTCATGGGGTAGTGCTTCTCAGCTTTACCAGTTTTCCTTCTCAGAAATGGATATTTTTGTGGTGCTCACAGCAGCCTTGCAGCTTTCCAAATGGCTCCCCAGGCTCAAAAATATCAGGCAAGCCCGCTTTAGACAAGCAGACATTTGGCAGATGATGCCTGGTGGGGAAAGCTCCACTTACTGAGACCTTGTTAAATGCAAAGGACAGGAGCCATGCCAGAAAGCTCCTGTTAGAAGAATGAGCCTCCCCCCACACCAGAATGTTAGTCCCAATTTTTGAGACTGTGACATTCCTATGTGATGGTGTCTAAAATGTCCTTGCTCAGAAGTATCTCCAAAAAAAAGTATGCTTTAATTTCAATCTATCTCCCCTTCTAACTATAGATTTGCTACTTCATTCACAGAAAGCAGCTGCAGATCCAAGCCTGAAAAATCACAGTCATTCTCTTCCCCCCGCCCTGCTCTATCCGTTTAACAAGGGCAGCTGCCTGGATAACAATTTCAATTACTATACAGAAGAGGGAGGGAGAAACCTTCACTGCATCTCTGTAAATTCTCTCAATCAATAAGGCAATGGAGTGATGTTGCGGGGAAAACAAACTGTATTTACTCTTCCAATTCAGGCAATTGTGAAGGGCTGCTGGAAACGTACTTACTGAGAAATTAGCCCAGTGTGAGTCCAATTGGAGGACAAAGCAGCATGAAATGGATGGTGGCCTGAGGGTACCACTCCATCCAGGGAAAAGTCTACTGACAATGAACACTGGATGTGCCCCCTTCTGATTCGGAAACTGCTGCAGCCAAAAAAAAAAAACCGAGAGAGAAGGTGGGGAGGTTAATTTCATGATAGCAAGCTCCAGTTTCCCTGCAGCAATAGGGAGACGACAATTCCTTCACACAAATTGCTTTAAAAAATGTGAACTCCCCGCAAAAGCTGTGCTGATAACCTCTTTCAGCTTTATGCTAACTGTAAAGGATGGGGCAGGTGCCAACAAAGCCATAAAGGGGCCTGGAAGAACTATTTTCACATTTAGCCAAGAAAAGAAAAAAATGAGTGCTACTGCACTAACAAAGCCAAGTTCCCAACACTTGTTTACACACCACAGTGAAACTTTTGCACAGCAAAACATTATGTTTTTGAAACAAAATAATAAAAAAAAATCCTTACAGTAGCACCTTAGAGACCAACTAAGTTTGTTCTTGGTATGAGCTTTCGTGTGCATGCACACTTCTTCAAATGTTTTTGTTAGTCAGGGACAGTGAAGTTCTACTTCTTAAAAATGAAAATCCTGCTCTGGCTCCCTCTGGCTTTTGAGTTTGCATCAGGCACTATAGCAACGTCCTTCAAGTTTAAAAAGTAGAAGCAAAAGCTGAGGTTCTCCAGATGGTATGTTCTGCTGCTCTGCTTTCAGGTGAAGTTTGTTTATAAAGTGACACTTGGCATCAACAGAAATGGAGTTTTAGCTGAGGTCAGCCTCTTCCATGGCAAAGATCCTAACCGCATAATGCTATGCATGTTTAGTTAGAACTAAGCCCCACTCCCCCCCCCAAGTAAATGAGTACCTTGGTTCTCAAACACCTTCTTCCGATAATAAGTCTTCCGATTTGCGAACTTTCTTTGGAAGCTGAACGTGCTCCAATTTGAGTGTTACGCTTCCGATTTGAGTGCCACACTTCCATTTTGAGTGTTACGCAGAGGTCTGTCTGTTTTTGCTTTTGCGTTTTTGTTTTTGCGGCTCTTTTTTTGTGACTGTGTGGAACCCAGTTCAGCTACTGATTGATTGATTGCGTGACTGCAGTACATTGATTATTGTTTTCATCTTATGGATCAATGGTCTCGTTAGATAGTAAAATCCATGTTAAATGGCTGTTTTGGGGGTTGTTTTTAAAAGTCTGGAACGGATTAATCCATTTTGCATTACTTTCTATGGGAACGCGTGCCTTGGTTTTGGAACGCTTTGGTTTTGGAACGGATTTCCAGAATGGATTAAGTTTGAGAATGAAGGTACCACTGCATAGGATTACAGCTCAAGAGATGGGAAATCGGTGGCTACGTTCTGCCTCGTCATGCTTCTACAGATCAGTTGCTAGAAGCTACAGTTCCTGCAGGCATCTGGGTGACCACTGTCGGAGCAGAGCTCATCTTGTGGTCTTAGGAATTCCTCACAAGATGAACTCACTGGGTAGTATTAGGTAAGCCACCATGCTGTTAATCTAACTCCCCCCTACGATACACCATGAAAATATTATAGAGTTGTTGTCAGGATTAACTGAAACCAGACTCTCCAAATGCCCCTATTTTCCAGGGACAGTCCCAGATTTGCAGAAGCCATTCCAGTTTCTGATTTGATCCTGGAATGTCCTGCTTTTCCTTAGGACGTCCCTATTTTCATCAGAGAAATGTTGGAGGGTATGTGATACGATGTACTTTTACTGTAAGGCCCTCCTGTGCAGGCCAGGTTAAGCTGGAGGTGGGGGATTAGGGTTTTTTAAAATGCCATTTCAAAATAAGAACATGTTTCTCAGGATTACACTGAAAATGGAGAGCATCAGATTGGGGGATTTTATTTTAAAACAGAGGGAAATCTTAATCAGTGCTTCATTAAGTTTCCCCTGGCTTTGTTGGCTCAGACAATGGCAATACGCTGGATATTTTCTCTTTTGTTTGTCAACATCTGTGAGTCGTTCAGGTCAATTAGTTCCATCTGTAGCTGTGGCAGCAGCATCTTCTGGTGACACAGCAAAAGGGCCATTAAACGGCTAGAACAGCTGCCTTTTATGTTCCAAGTAAGAACTTCCTGCAGTTTCTTTGCAATTCACGTTTGAGTCCAGCATCTTCTGCACTGTTCTTCCGCTAAATAATGGATAGTTTCTATGCACAGCTTAGTGTGCTCTGTTTTTTTATTTTAATCTGCACCTTGGTAAGACATCTTCTGTGTCAAGAAAGGCAAAGTGCTGCAAACTGAATAAAGTATGCAAAACGAAGACATTTTTATTGCTTATTAATTTTACTCTTTTTCCTAGTTCTGCTTCTTTTATTTACAAGGCCAGGTAAAGACACAGAGGTTCTGATGAATATTCACTTCTCCAGCTTTTCACTAGGCAAGCCCTATTGTGGGCTGGTGTCAAAGTCTTATACACATTTACTGGGAATTAATAGGAAAAGTTTGACTCAATGGGATTTACAGTGAACTTGGGGGACTTGCAGTCTTATAGATGTTGCTTTATGATAACTTTCATCATCCCTGACCTTGATGGCTGGGAATGATAGGAACTGGAGTTGAACAATTACAAGTTCCCATATAAGTCCAGGGTAAAGGTAAAGGTAAAGGGACCCCTGACCATTAGGTCCAGTCGTGACCGACTCTGGGGTTGCGGCGCTCATCTCGCTTTATTGGCCGAGGGAGCCGGTGTACAGCTTCCAGGTCATGTGGCCAGCATGACTAAGCCGCTTCTGGCGAACCAGAGCAGCGCATGGAAACACCGTTTACCTTCCCGCTTGAGTGGTACCTATTTATCTACTTGCACTTTGATGTGCTTTCGAACTGCTAGGTTGGCAGGAGCAGGGACTAAGCAATGGGAGCTCACCCCGTCGTGGGGATTCGAACTGCCGACCTTCTGATCAGCAAGTCCTAGGCTCTGTGGTTTAACCCACAGCGCCACCCGCGTCCCATAAGTCCAGGGTACTACTCAGTAATTACAGAAAGAGGAATCCTTGCCTCTGAGATGTGTGGGAAATCTCTCTGTCTTGATGTAACATCTTTGTTTCTGTTTGTGTGAAAGAGGGAGGGAGGAGGGAATTTGGAACAGCTCAACTCTCTGCGCATTGCTTTAGATTGTACAGCTTTTTTCCCCCTCACCTCTCCAGCAATTAGCAAAGGCAGCTGAACACCCAGCTAGATCCAAGAAGGTCGGGTTTCTAGTCCAGAATGGAAATGGCTGCATGCATGACCCATGAAAAAGCTAATGGCAAAAGTATGAACCAAGATCGTAAACAACAAAACGTCCCTGGGAACAGAGCTGGGCTCTTCTACAGCAGTTGTGTTCATTCAATCAAACAGAGCAGCAAGCAAACACTCACTTTTTCTGAGCAGAAGCTAACTGTTCCCAAGCTGACCATATTCAAAGTGCGTATGGACACACACACACACACACACACACACATATATGAAGATGTAGAAGCACAGCTGATATGATTGTGTAAGAAGCAGAGAAGAAGCCTGGAGAGATAAAAGCCATTTTAAAAGCTCTGAACAGTTCCTGGCACGTGGAACAAGCAAGCAAGCAAACATCACTGCCCTTCTCCACATGGCTGGCATTTTAATATCTGCTGCAAGAGCCCAAAGCCTGCTTACAGCACAATCCTATGCATGCCTACTTAGAAGTAAATCCCTAGGTAAGTGGGTGTAGGACTGCAGCCATAGCATCTCTGGTTGGCCACTGTGGGAACAGGATGTGGAACTAAGAAGGGCCATTGGCCTGATATTTGAGAGCAGCAGAGGGATAGCTCAGTTAGGAGAGCATGATAGACTTAATCTCAGGGTTATGGGTTCGAGCTCCACTTTGGGCCAAAGATCCCTGCACAGAAGCAAAAAGAAATTCTGATAAAAGAAGAATGGCAGACAAAATTAATGGACTATGCAGAATTGGACAAAATGACAGGAAGGATTCGAAACCTGCGGGACCAGACATTTACAGAAGATTGGAAGAAGTATATGAATTATTTGAAGAACAACTGTAATCAACAAATTACGCTAGTAGGACCACAGGAAGTTTTGTAAGGAGAAATATACGAAGTGTTACAAAGTAGAAAAAGATAGAGATATTGGTTATGAGTTTGAAATGTAATAGGGAAAATAAGAAATGCATAATAAGAGACTAGATTGGAAAATTTTCAGACAGGACTGATGGAAGACAAAAAAATTGAATAAGATGCAAAAGTATGTTTAATTATTGTTGAAAATGTTATGTTAAAAAACTAATAAAAAATTATATATATAAAAAAGATCCCTGCACAGCAGGGGGTTGGACTAGACGACCATCGTGGTCCCTTTCAACTCTACAATTCTATTCTTCTTATGTTCTTGGCTGTTTAGCAAGTCACCTTTAATAACAGATGAAAGATCCCTTCTTTTTTGGATTAGAAGGAAACAACATCACCCTACCCTTAAAAAAAAAACTAAAACACTCCTACATGATAGAGTGTTCTATTCTCTTCTTTTATCCAAAGCTGTTTCAATTTAAATGGAATATATTCTCCCCCATGCAATTTTCATGAGGTACAACATGAGAGAGAGCGCAGAGCGGCTGTATCATTAGTAGTCGTGCAGGAGAGGGATTTCTGCAAGTGGAGTTTGTCACGCCACAGGGCTGAAGGGATTTGAGAAACTACTCCTACCCAGATCCCCTCCATCTACTGATATTAATGGTGCAGAATCCCTTAGCATTACTATCTGGAGTGAAAAAAATAAGGTAGCCCCTTTTTTGTCAATCCATGAGCCTAATAAAATGATGAGCCATGTTGGGCGTTGAAAATGAGTAGTTTTCACAGGGAAAAAAACAACCACATTACAATGTAATCCTATACATACCTACTCAGAAGTAACTCTCAATCCGTTAAGTTAGTCTTACTCCCAGGTAAGGTTCGCAGCCTTAATTGTGTAAAACAAAAAACCCATAGTCAATAATAGATAATTTTAAAAAATCTAATATCCAAGTGGGCTATCGGTTTCATGCCTTTAGCCCGAGAGGGCAATAAATTTGTGGAGCTTCACTGAAAAAATGCAGACTGAACAGTGTAAACTCTGTAATGATTGTGATGGAAAAACCTTATTCTTTATATTTCACTTATGGATAAAATTGAACTGTCTTCTGCATTTAATACAGCAAAATGTTCCTCACTTAGCCTGCTTTCCGACACTGGTGAGCGATTAAACATCTCTTTATCGAGAGATCATTGCTAGTGGAAAACAATATTCTACTTTCATCCGTCAGCACAATTCTAATTATACAGACTTCAAAATGGGGCGGTTGGTACCATACTGAGGAACTAAACTATTTTTATAGACTTATAACCTTAGTAGAATTACTAGACATGCTGACAGTAATGGATAGCTTTCACTGAAAAAACATCTTGGTTGGGTAAAAGAGTAGGCGGAATCTAATCCATAATACCCAAATTTGAGCAACAAAATGACTTGACAAATCTGACATATTCTGTGACAGTGGATTGTATCCAATGAAGTCACTTCACAATACAGTGGTACCTCAGGTTACATATGCTTCAGGTTACATACGCTTCAGGTTACAGACTCCGCTAACCTAGAAATAGTGCTTCAGGTTAAGAACTTTTCTTCAGGATGAGAACAGAAATCGTGCTCCGGCGGCGCAGCGGCAGCAGGAGGCCCCATTAGCTAAAGTGGTGCTTCAGGTTAAGAACAGTTTCAAGTTAAGAACGGACCTCCGGAACAAATTAAGTACTTAACCTGAGGTACCCACTGTATGTGACTTCCGCTCACACAACAGAACTTCCTCTCCCTCTCCTCCCCATGCGCCCACCTGCCTACCGCGCAACTGTAGTGGAAATGCTGAAGACAATTGTATTTTGAGGAGTTAGGTGGCATGTCCCTTTCCCTTTAACATCCCCAGTTGGAGGTCTGCTGGATTCTTGTGTTTCACACACCTGTTGGGAATTTCTTGGGTTCTTCTGTGTTGCCAGTGGTGGCTAGATGCCCGGCTGCAGGTAGTGGGAGACTCTCAGCCGCTCTGTATTAATTCCATCTCAGGGTCCCCAGGCTAATCATGAGTAATGCCAGGTGCACTTGATTACATCAAGGCAGGCTATAAAAGTCATAGGTGGGAACGGCCCAGAGAGCTTCTACCCAGATCAAAGGACCTGATGCTGGGAAACCGACGGTCGGGGTCTTTCTCCTGCTGCTCTACCTGGGGCTCCGGGCAGCTGAAGGGGAGATTGGGTAGCCCCTGTCGGGTATGTTTTATTTTATGCTTTGCATGCCTGCTGTTTATTGTTAATAAAACTGTTTTGGTTCCCCTTCCACCTCCTCATTCCTTTTGTCCTGATACTCTTGGAAAGAACTGCTGTATTTGGCAGCACAGCAGCTTCCAAATATGTTCTGTCTAGCCCCAACTTCCCATGGAAGGGCATTCGACAACCTTGTAGCCACTACTAAGAAGGCTCTGTCCCAGCCAACTAGACATGGAGGTGACTGTAAAAGAAAGTTCATGCAGAAGAAGCCAGCCCTTCAAATATATCGGCCTTAAATTGTTTAGTGAGTTGATCCCTGAAAAGTGGACTACACATCTTAACCACATTCAGTACAACAGGCAAGAGTGTTTCAATTGGGTCTTTCCGGTCCAAGTCTAAACACTCAATCTGCTAAGGGTTTATGTTTGCGTGACTTTTGGCTAGTGACTTTCTCTTAGCCTAACCTACCTTAGCTGGTTGTTGTGAGAATGAAAGAAGATAGCATGTGTGGGTGCTCTGAACACTCTGGACAATCTGAAAGAATTTTGTTATTATTAAAGCTATCCAATGAGTTCATACTCAGTGCCCCAAACAGTCATTCCCTAAGAATGTGCATCTAACCATTTTTGGCATAAGAGCCTACAGAATGGAATTTGTCGCACAGATAAAGCTCTCAAACAACAGCGAGCCCTGATTCCAAGGACATTTCCTCTGATAACAAACCGTCAATGTGGGGGAGAAAAAATATATATTATCCACTAATTTGTCTGAGGTCGATGATTTAAAAAACAATGTTTAGGAACTCCAGACAAGCCCCGTGCAAATAATGGTTTTATAACTAATCCAGGCTGCAATCCTAAACATGCTGGCAGCAAATCCTATTGAACTGGATGTGACTTCCAAGTAAACATGCTTAGGAATCCTCAGAAAGGCTGAAATTCTATGCTCAGTTGCAGAAGAGTAAGGTACATTGTGCTCTATGGGACTTCCTTCCACGCACAAGAACAGGCTGTAGGTAGTTTGCTAAGTCTTGCAGCTTTTCTTTCAGCCAGGTACATACACATGAGCTAGCAGGACAAGCCACAATGGGATCAGTGCTGATTATTTAAAAATCCAAACATGAGTTTAAGCGAGAGTGCTGAGGTTGGGGGGGGGGGGGGACTTTGGCTCAGTTCCCTTTTCTGATATGAAGTTCACTGTGGGTGTTTCTAGACACTGGTGCTAGAGTGACAGCAACATGAAGACACCTCCTGAAACAGGACAATTTACTCTATGGTTTTAACCCCTTCATGAATTAATTAGACTCAAGCATGCTGGTTATACAGTCATACCTCAGAATAAATACACTTCAGGATAAGTATTTTTGGGTTGCGCTCCGTGGCAACCGGTTTCGCCGCATGCGCAGACGGTCAAAATGTCACCCGCATGCGTGGAAGCAGCGAAACATAACCCGCGCACACGCAGACGTGCAGTCGTGTCTCATGTTCTGTTCAGGATGTGAACGGGGCTCCGGAACGGATCCTGTTCGCATCCCTAGGTACCACTGTATGAGGCAAACCTCATATACAAATCTCATCTTACAAGGCTTGTTGAAAGAGGAAGGTCTTCAATATTTTATTTTATTTATTTATACAGTCGTACCTTGGTTTTCAAACAGCTTAGTTCTCGAACGTTTTGGCTCCTGAATGTCACAAACCTGGAAGTGAGCATTCCAGTTTGCGAACTACCTTTGGAAGCACAACATCCCACCAGGCTTCCATGGCCAGAAGCTTCTTGCAGCTAATCAGAAGCCGTGCTTTGGTTTCCAAACATTTTGGAAGTCTTCCGGAACAGATTCCGTTCAGCTTCCAAGGCACGACTGTATTTCATTTCATTTATTAAATTTGTATACCACCCTTCTTCCAAAGATGTCAGGGTGGTTCACAGCATAAAAATACAAGATTAAAAAATACATAATAAAAACAAAGCACACTAATAGCACCCTCCAGCAAACACTGAAAAGACAACTATTCAACTGTCTACTATTCAAGGGGAAGGACTTCCACAATGTTAAAGGCCCAATTCCTATATTATGTGGAAAGGACCTTTCAATGAATCAGCATCCAGACACTCTTCACCTGCAGAACGCAAGGATCAGTTGGGCACATAAGTAGCTTTCTCCACCTACATAAAGGCAACCCAATGAATCTCCGTAATATTAATAATGTGCTTTTTAGCTGCCAGCTCTGCATGCCAAAAAGGCGTGACAGGGGTCTGACAGGAAAACCTCAAATCTGCATCCTTTTAAGATTCAACTTCTACACTGCATTTCTGGGTGACACTTCAGCGCTGAAACAGGAACGAGCCGTTTCATCTATTGGCAAGCTGTAGCTCAAATCCTGCTCTCTAGAGACTACCAGTTAGGAAAGAGAAGAGTCTCTCGAAGGTTGCTTGTACATTTTGTAAACTTCCTCCTCCCTGCCACACACCTATAATTCCCATTTGGAGGGGTTAATCCGATGACAAGTAAAGGGATTATTAATCGAATCGGCTTTAGACAAGTGCAGTCCAGGGAGCTCTATACTTCTGCCAGTACACCTGCAGACT